TAGAACCGCTGAACTGCAGATAAGAGTCAGCTGAAGTGGCCTGCAGTACTGCACCCTAAACACTGTGCCACCTCGGATCGGTTAGGGCTGCCCTGGAAACAGCAATGGACTGACCTGCAGGGCCTCTACCAGCAAAAACAGAGTTCAGATGGCTGCAACAGCTTCCTGCAACCTTCTGCCAGGGAAAACAGAGCTGGGGAGGGCGCACATGGCTCTCTTGAGCTCCGTTTTCATTGGCAGAGGGTTGCAGGAGGCTGTCACAGCCTCCTGAGCTCCATTTTTGTTGGCAGAGTGCTCAGGCAACCACAGGCGCCCATGACACGAATGATATCGAGCTGGACATACTCACCCTGGCCACGCCCACCAGGGCACCAAGGTCAAACACAACCTTGATGCGGCCCTCAATGAAATCGAGTTTGACACCCCTGGTCTAATGTTAGGAAATGCTTTAACAGTAGTAAGGGGAAAAGCTTGCTCACCTTTCTATACACTCTTTTACAATGGCAAAATTTCCATCTCCTATAGTCCGACCAACTTTATATCTCTCTGCTATTGAGGCTGGAACCTGGAAGCCTTCATCCAACACTTCTGAAAAGAATTGTTAGTAAGCTTTATTTGTGGGAGAAGCAACACATATGTGACATATAATACATATTTTACCTACACCTATACGGCTTAAGATAATTGAAACCATCCAGGAATGGTATTTTGCAAAACAGAAGAACCATATTGCTGATACTGTCAGAAAGTTTCACAATATTAAATATCAAGCTTACAGATGCTGGACCCATTGCTTGTATCTCATACACATTGGTGATCAATTCACAGACATAACTATTTCATCTCAATGCTGGATTACTTCAACACACCATAATTAAGTATCTACAAAGGAAGTCTAACACTCAAGCACTTATTTTATTACATCCTGTAGGCTGACAGCAACACAAACTTGCTCATGTGATAACTCCTATTTTCCTCCTTTTGTATAAAATATTTGGTTTTTAAACAAGTATTCTGAATAATGTCACTTAGAAATTCAACCTGGACACCAGATGCTTAAAAAACCATCAAAATTAAATTTAAAAAAGGGTTATTGTACTTTAGCAGCCATTAAAGAATCCTTTTTCTTCAAATATTTCTAAAAAGCTCAAGCCATAGACCGTCTCTTAAATGAACCATGTTTAGCTTTTTCTAATCATAATAACTCTCTATTTTATTTTAATCCTTTAAAATTCTGCTCTATAATTAGTGGAATAATTGAACTGTCCTGGCCAGATAAATTCTTGTTTTGTTTTTGTTAAGCTTTCTCAATTTGATTAAAGAGACTTTTTTTATATAAATTGAGACATAAGGGCCACAACCCAGCTTCTGGGGAAAATCTGAGTGCTGCAAAACAGATGGGGCCACAGCACAATTGTTAGCAAGACAAGGCTGCATTTGGGGTTTCTCTATTTTTAGCTGTTTAGCATACCTATAATAAGGCTTACACTTACACACTATTTCCCACCTCAAAAAGCCTAGAAATTGTGTTATTTGTTTTCAGTAACCATAGAGCTATTTTATTTATTAACTTTATTGGGATTTTGTGCAGTATTCAATATACAAAATTTAAAATAAAACAATCCATGCAATAAAAAGTATCTACAAAGAAACAACTACCATTTCACAAACCAGTCAACTCAAAAAGGAGTCCAATGCCCATTATAACTTAAAGTTGGGAAAAGAACCGAATCCTGAGGGCACATTTAAATAAGGTTAGACTGAGGACTGTGCAAACTTTTGGAAGAATAGCAGTCCAGAGGCCAAATGCTACGAAAGAGAAGACCTGTTTCTTGGGTCCCATTCAATGTATTGCTTATCAATGGCATCCAGAGCATGCTTCTGAATCATATAAGATGGACAACAACTGTGAAACACAGGTGGTTCCTCAAATAACCAAGCTCTGTGCCATGAAGAACTTTATAAGAGACAATCAGCACATTGAAATGTACTGAATGCAGCTTCCACAGTAAAGGTGTTGCATGGACATAAGAAGGCATACCCAAAGTAGCCTACAGTATGTTGCTATGTTCTGGACCATCTGCACTTTCTGAGTGGTCTTCAAGTGTAGTTTCATATGCAGTCCTTTGCAATGATCCAAACACAAGGTGATCAAAGATTCTTAAGGCTGCACATATGCGTGCAACTGATTCATTAAATGAACCTGTACAAAGTATTTCCCAGCAAGTTGTCCCTTGTTTGTTCAGTAGAAACTGTGAGACCAAGTGCAACCCCATTCAGGACTAAGGATGGAGCACATCAAGATATGGGTGGTCCAAAAACCCATAGCCACTTGGTTTTGTCAGGGCAGAGCTTAGCTTTTTCCTATAGATTCCAGACACAGGGAGTCAGAATAGGCAGGTTAGCCTGGGATTGAAATATTCATCAAAAGACTAGTGATACCTGACATTAAAGTCACCCACAAGGAAAATGTGATTCCCTACACTTTTTAAAAATTGCAAGATGGCCAAGATAATTTGCATATATGTTCTGAGTTTGATTATTTAAATTTGTTATAGCCATCTATTTCAGTAGATTCTGATCATCTTACAATCAGTTTCATAGTACATTGTTCTTCCAACAGTTTACAGTTTACAGCAGCAAGCTGAATGGCTTTGATTACAGAGGCTATTGATGTATAATTGGAAGATCTGAAAGGCCAGTTTGGAGACCAATGATTTTGAAGAAGGTCTATCTGTGTGGTCATTGAGACAACACTAGCTTAATGGCATAAAACCAACCAGTCAATTTATGAGTTCTCATATCTCAATTCACTTTCAAAAGAAGACATAACAAGGCAAATCTTCCCATTGGATAACCAAGAAAGAGCCCTGTCTTTGAGAAATTGGTGGATAATTTCTTCTTATTCTGAAAAATTTAGTGAAATAACCCACCCATTTTTTTTGACAAATCAATGTGATGAATTTCAAATGACTATTTATGCAAGCTTCAGATGAGATGCCTAACAAACTTTGTGAATGTAGTTAAGGGAGGTACAAGGGATGTTACAGGAGACATTCCTATTTCTAGGGAAAGGGAGAAGCATGAGAAACAAATTAAAGAATAATTTACCCTTAGTAATACTGGACAAAAGTTGTGCAGGAAAGTTACTTGGTGGGATTTCAAGATTAATGTCATGCTCTAAAAGTTTGATAAACTCGGCAAAAAAAGAAGAAAAAGAACTACTTAGATTTCTGTATAGACCTGTCTGCTACAAATTAGAATTTCTCTGGCAGAATCTCAAAATAGATGTTTCATGGAGTTCAACTTATACATCATAAGAAAATTATAAATAGCAATAACATACTCATGCTCACCTTAAACACTGGAAGAAGCCTGAAATTATATAGAATTCACTAGCAAATAAAAATGACTTAGCAGCACACACACAAAAAGGAAATGTTAAATGCAAGTCCTGGAGAGAATATATTTAATTATTTCTAAAGAAACAGCCATATTTTTAAAAAAACTGAAACCTTCTTTCATGCAATTGGAAATCTCTTTTTGCTAGAAATACCAACCTTAATCTGAATCACTCACTGCAAAATACAGGAACCCAATTTTCCCAATTTCAACCCATAGTTTCTGCCTTAGTTCCCATTTCTAGTTCTGCTTCTACCTTTTCAAAGGAGACAATTTTTCTCTCCCTAGAAAATTTATCTCCCTTTCTGGGCTATTGATTTGGTGATGAACAAGAACCAAGGCCTCACCTATGAATGGGGACTGTTAATGTCTGCAATCAATGAAAGATCCAAACTAGGATGCAGACTAGCAGTCACAATAGTTCAATTCACATGAAATTATTATATAATCCCTCATATTTGTGGCCTGTATACAAAAGGTTTAGGCAATAACTAATGAACTTTCAAACCATAGTAATTAAAACTTCTATAAGCAATCTGAACTAGAAGGTTAACCAAACTTTGCTTTGTCAAGGACATGTACTCTCATACTTAGTATATGACAGTGATGTCCTCGTGTGCCGAAATCGTTTGTACACACATTTCAGAGTGCGCTCATGTGCCCATACCCACAATATATTCCACATCCTGCATATGTGTGCATGATTTCCCGTACTCCCTCCGCCCTCCCATGCATGCATGTGAACCCCCACGAAACCCCATGCATGTGTGCATGAACTCTTGCCCTCCATCACACATGCACATTTGCCTCCCACATGCACAGCAGAGACCCCAAAATCAGCTGGGTGGTGAAAGGCGCGCACGCATGTGCGGTGGAGCTGAGCTGGGCGATGGCTCGTGTGCCCTTGGAGAGGGCTCCACATGCCACTTATTCACCATCATGGGTATATGATATACAGTAGAATATTTTGACTATTAGAAAAAATGGAAAACGGCTATGGAAGTACCTGATTATTCAATAACACATAGATGCCAAAGACAGTTTAATACAAAATATCAATTGTGCCCTAATATCAACAATCTTTCTTTAACTTTTAGAGGCAATAAATCATAGACACCTTTGTATTATCACTTTTCAAACAGAGGTGTTTTATCTGTTTATATTACCTTCACCAGGCCCATCGGTTTCGTCCATCGAACTGCAGACTTTGGTAGAGGCTAGTGAGGTAGAGGAACCACTGTGCTGAGAGCTCTGAAAATATAGAATTGGGTTGGAGAAAGATAATTAAATATGGTTTCAAGTAAGCTAGATTATAACAAAAAGCATCTAGAGGGACTTCCTGATCATCTGAAATGATTTTTTTTAAAAAAAATGCTTCTGTAACAGTCTATTCCTGAATACCTTCAGAAACCATTTTCAATTTACTGCTTATTATGTAAAAACATGTTATGCAACATTTTCTTTCCTTGTTAGCCTCACTATTTTTTTAACAATTCAGAGCATCTCTGTTAAAATGCTCTATCATTGAAAATGCATTGCTCTGTTTCTCTCAGTAATCCACCATTTAGGATTTGAGTCACAGTTCATTTGCTTTCTTACCTGTAAAGTTTGCTACATGAATGACTTGCCATAGCAGAAAAGATGCTTATTCAAAAGGTGTGTTAATGTTTCTCATGCCTTCTTCATAAGCCAGAGATGTGCCAAGAGCCATTAACAAATTAAAAGTAAAAAAAGAGATTTTGTCTTCTCACCTTATTTGTATATAGCCTTCTAATATCATTACAGTATCTTCCCAATCCTTGAACCATACATCAAATTTTAGCATAAAATCTGGATATGCACCAAAGAAGCTGGTGGTCAGGAAGCCAACATCAGGCCAAGCAAGTTATTATTTAGTTTGCATTTCTGTTAGGTAGATCTTGATTAGGAATCTGTCTGTACTTATCTATTATATATTTAATTGGCTATCAATGTGTACATGTATTTTAATATAAGTATCAGGGATTTACCATTATCTATTTCTCTGTTTGTATCTAATGTTCAAACAATGAATCATATGTAAATGGTTTCATACATTTATTTTCACTCTCACTATATATGCATACATACAGTATATGTGTGTCTGTGTATGTGGTATGTATTAGAAAGGGTGAAGTAAACTATATATATGTTGTTGCTCCATGCTTGGCAATTTGGTTGCAAATGTTTTATGCCCATTCGAGGAGACATCTGTCAGACCTGGAAGCCCTCTTTTACCCTTTCGGATTTCAGGCCTGCCACTTTTTACTGTGGGGAAATGGGAGGGAGGATTATACAGAGTATGCGCGATGTGTAGCCATAATAACATTCTTTCTCAGAAAATCAAGGTCGCTTTGTTCCTGCACCTGGACGGATGTGGATGGGAGGAATCTTTTTCCATGGCAATAAATGATTGTACCATGTTATGGATTTGTGGTGTTGGGGCAGGGTCTTGAACTTTCAACTGGCTGGGAAAACCTGGAAGCTTTCAGATTTGGGTTTTCACAGATGGGTCAATATGACATCTGTAATAAAATGGAACTTTGAAGAATCTCAAGCCTTGGAGTTTTCTTTTGTTGGGGGTGTTATTTGGAATTCTGACATTAACCTGAATCTCTGTATAACACACACACACACACACACACACACACACTTTCATCTTTAGTATGGTTTGGATTGTGCTTGTCTGGGGGAAGTACTGGCCTTTAAATATCTTTCTGAGTCCTGGTCTGATTTCAGGTTATGTGACTGGCTGGCTGTAGTTGC